GCCTAGAAAGCCAAGCCAACAAGGTGCAGGTCATGGGTGAACTAGGGAACTTGTGCGCACATCCTAGCAGGGGGGCCCTAAGGCGTGGAGGTGACCATACCCATCAGGTTTCAGGTACTTGGCTAGCCCTGAGTGCCGTGCCAAGAAGGCAGGAACCAGACCCACACCGTGTCCATAAACCATGCCTAGGACTCCCACTAAAACCCAGCATTTTCTTAGCATTGGCATCCCCATTGCCCTTCTGCCACCTCTTTCATCAGACCCCCGGAGGGCCAGGTAACCGTATTTGTACATGGAGGCTCTGGGCTGTTGGAGTGTGAGCCTCTGTCAACCAGACCAACAGAGGGTGACAAAGGCCAGCAGGGAGGCTTACACCGCTTTGGGGAGGACCTCAACAGTGCTGAAGTTGCTGGAGTAAGCGGGCAGTCGCCATCCTGTGCCTTCGAGGGCAACACCAGACTTTTTTGGAAAAAGGTGGGGACTTTAAACATTTCCAAGGACTGTCCATCTGTTTGCAATGCACAGGGGAGTTCACAAGAGGGTGTCTTGTGTGGTGCCTCATGAACACCAGCACCACCTTCAGTGGTGCCTCATGAACACCAGCACCACCTTCAGTGGTGCCTCATGAACACCAGCACCACCTTCAGTGGTGCCTCATGAACACCAGCACCACCTTCAGTGGTACCTCATAAACACCAGCACCACCTTCAGCACTCCTCTCTCCCCGTTTTGACTTACTGCCATTGGTAATTAGGCACTATTGTTACCTCTATGTCTACTTCCTACTTTTCAGCAAACCCTAAAGTTCTTGTTCCCCAAAACAAATGAATAAATATCCTACTTCGAGTGTAATAATTTTGCTTATGCCTCCTTGAATATACTTGGCCAGGAGTTTTAGAGACTGGCTGTTCTCTTTTACACTTCCAGTCATTTCCTTGGCCAAAAGCAGGGAATCTGATGCAGGCTGCAGTTAGGCATGTCTGGGCAGGATGATTAAGACCGCTATTCCCTGTTTCTACTCTGAATGTAGAAGGGCATGTTCGGTTTGGGAGTCAGCTAGAATCTCAGGAGGAATCCATCTGAGGAGACCAGGGTTGAAAGGGAACAGGGAGGGAGAGCCAAGGGTGGAATGAAGCCACACAGACAGAGTCAATCCCAAAAGATCAGCTGTATGGAGCTAGTTTTCTTAGACCCAGTTACCCTTACAAGTAGGTCCTTATCACTTCCCTCTGCCTGGGTCCAACAGCTTTATCATGGCTCTGTCGTGCCGTTATCTGAGAATCACTAACTCTTGGAGAACATAAGCCAAAGACGTTTGGAGACAAAAAATTATGAGGAAATACCCCCTTTTCTGTTACCCAGATCCTGTTCAGCTCCAGTGATGAAGCACAGGTGGTTCTAGACACCTGGGAAGCCTCTGACTGCACTGCATCTAAGTCTGTCTTTCCCAGACCTAGGATGTGGGGCACACAATCAGAAACCATCACTCAGGGATCAGGAGACCACGGTTCTCTCAAACATTGAATTTCCCATGGGGCCCCTTCTCACTGTGTAGGTAGTGGGGATTTTGTCCCGTGTGTAGGATTTTCTCAAGTGCTCAGATTCTCAGACTGACCAAGTTTTAAATAATTTGTTTTGTTCCCTGGGGAGACTTGGTTCAGAAAAAGAATAGAATGGCAAAGGAAAACGACAATGGTTCTCATGGGTGAAGTGCCCACACAGACAGGTGGGAAATGGCTTCATTTCAGTCCAAAGCTCATCAGGACCAGTAGGATGGCTCTGTTTACATAATGAGGACATTGGAACACCTCCTTAAGGGTATCTAGGGATAGAGGTATCCCATGAGAGCAGAATGGTCTTCAAGGGAGGACAGAGAGTCCTTGTTATTTTGGAGGCTCATGGAAGTGGGCAGTTTTGAGTGGAAATAATTGTCAAATGGGAACATAAGCTACCTACATATTGGCAACAGAAAGGAACAACAATCTTTCAGTTCAGTTAAAGTGATTTAGGCTAGATTGACAAAAAGATTGGTCTGAACAGTGGTGGGTATTTTGTCTGTGAACTTGGTCTAGACTCCACTAACTCCCGTTACACTCCGTCATCCTGTTCTGAGCTCCTACAGGCTTCCTATCAGGCTGTGGGACCTGCCACGTTGTATGTTAGTTTGCTGGACATATATCTGTCTTCCCATTACAGTCTGAGCTTCTAGTGCGCCTGGGTGGCTCAGTGGGTTCAGTGTCTGCCTTCGGCTCAGGTTATAATCCCAGGATCCTGGGATGGAGTCCCATGTCAGGCTCCCTGCTCATCAAGGAGTCTGCTCCTTCTCCCTCTGTCACTCCTCCCAACTCATTCATGCTCTCTCTCGCTTGCTCTCTCTTCAATCAATCAGTCTTTAAAGTCTGAGCTTCTGTTCCCCGAGTTGAGCAAGGAGGTGAGCCATTTGTTCAGTTCCTCTCAATATCTCCTTTTCAAAAAGTGTGGGACAGTGAAATACCACTGGACTTAAAGACAAGACTTCTGGATTTGAGTTTGGAAGCTCCATCCTGGCTTCTATCTAGAAGTGTGGGACACAAAACCAGGGTCACCTCTGAATCTCAGATGCTCTGGTCAGTGATCTATTGTTGCTAAACACCACTATGCAGGAGATTTGATTGGAAACATGGTTTTAAAAATTCAGATTCTTAACTGAAGAGTTCCCAGTATGAAAGTGTTAGAGTAGGGGGCAGACCCCTGACTTCCAAAAATACTCTAGGTGACTAGAATCAGTTTGGTTCTGGAAACAATGACTTACATTATTTTCAAGCCCATTTCTAAGCTCTAATATTTTAATGTTCTAAGAACTCCTATAAATCTGAGTGTGACACTTCTACTTCGTTTTTATGGTTGAAAAACACACACGGTGTGTGCGTGTGTGCACATGAAGTGTGGAACAAAGCCCAATCCCCAATTCTAGGTAAATGAGAACAATATTAGCGAGGAGAGAGAAGGGAAGAAAAGTTACAACACAATTTGCACATGCTAGTGAGTAATCTATGTAGATTCATGCAATAAGGGAATTGTGTGATTTGTGAGGGAGAGTAAGCCTGAGCAAGGCATTATTAACTTGAGTGTCTGAGTAAATGGTAACAATATTTACTAAGATCTCAAATAGTAAATGAAGTTCAGTTTTGGAAAGAAAGGGATAAATTGTAATAAACACAAGTTACTTTTAGGTCCTATCAGAAATCCCAAAAGATCAGCTGTATGGAGCTGGAGTTAGGAAGAGCAATGCCTTATAAAACTTCAGCAAGAAGTTTAAGTTGGAAATACAGTGTAGGATTTTTATCAGATAAGGCCCATGTAGGTCAACAGAAATTATACTGGGTATTTAGAAAGAGGGAATGGTGACCAAGACGTGCCTAAGAGGTCACTCACTGGTCTCCTTATCAAGAGAAATCCCAGCAGCACGAAGGTGGCAGAGGATGTTGCTCTAAGTTGAGAAGCAAAGAGGGATACTTTACACACACCACAGTTCATTTGGCGAGGAAAGTGGGGAAAAGAGGGAGGAAGAACAAGGGAAGAGACCTAAGTACATTTAGATTCTGAAAGGCAGTTATTTGATCTGAGACCGGTAAGGAAATTCTGGGGAAAGCCCAGGACCTGAGACACTTGCCACAGAGAACTTCATCCGCCCACTTCTCTCTTATATAGTTTTCAGAATAAAAAATTCAGCCCATTAGCCATAAAGATATGTAGCAGCACCAGAACATTTTTTAAAACACATCTTTATTTCTTATTTTACAGCCTTTTACAAATTGTCTTGTCCTAAGAAATTGTATTTTATTTTGTTCTCTCTTATTTACATCTCTACGGGAAGTGGGCTTAAGCGAATAGGTAAGGAAATTCTCCAGAGCAGAGACAAGGGGCTGTGTTTCTTCTGTTCTGGAAGGGTGTGCTGTAAATCGAGGATGAAAATGACCTATGAAATATATCTTGCTCTACCTGAAAGCTGGGACTCTGAATTTTGGCAAGTCAGGACAGAGGCAAACCTGTGTGCCATTACCATTGGCCCAGAAAACCAAGGATCGCAGGGTCACAGGAGGGATTTTGGAAAGTGTGCAATTTTCCTGCAGCTAGTTTCCACTTCTTCCTCGACCCAACTGCTCACTGGAGCTGCTGAAAAGTGTTCCATCTTCAGGCTTCTGCCCTTGGCCAGCACACCATTCTGCGGATGTGCTAAGAACATAAGACCAAAAAGCCAGAAGTCTGCATATGACTGTGACTAAGCCAGCAAGGGTGGGGTCTTCTTGGGCCTGTATCTCCTTCTTGGAAATGATGGTGTTGAGTTGGACCATCTCTAGGGAACTTACGCTTGAATAGGCCACGATTGATACATTCTCACTGCAAGTAGCCAGAATGAAGATCCTCCCAATCTTGGCCCAGCTTAAACTTTGACGTGGGCCAGTTTCTTTGTGGCACTTGATGTCCCAGATGGGACAGGGAGTGGAAGCCATTCTAACAACTACCTGTGAAGGAGCTGGAGAAGCCCATGCCCACAGTATGGCTTAAGGCAGCCACAACTTGTGTCCAGCAGGTGGGCCGTTTACTACATGGTTGAATCTCCTCTTATTACAGACACCAGCGTCTGAATAGCAAAGGCCCAGGGTCACACTTCCGTCTGAAGCCAGGACTTTAGAATTCCTCTCAAGCACGGTCCCACCTTTCCATTCTACTTGTTTTATCTGTTCATTTGCTCACTTACTTTATCAATCAATAAAATAATTAATGGGCCCTATGCCAGCAAGTGGGGATTGCCAAGGTGAACATAACACAGTGCCTTCCCTCGGGCAGCTCATGGCCCAGGGAGGGCATTTCTCTGCAGCGTCAGGAGCTGGACTGACAGCTTCATTCAAAGAATGCCAACCTTGGAGGTCAGGAGAGAAAATTCAGACAGGTTTGCTGCATGGACCTCACAGCCAGAGGACCTTTGCCTCTCACTTTTTGTAACTGTTGCTTGGCTTTTACTTGTTCCTCTTTTTCCTGCAGCAAAGTGGTGTCAATTCAGCTCGACAGCCCCCAATCTTAACTTCGAAGGAAAGGCACTCGACTTCACAGCGCCCATCCAGTTTCTGACACTGCATCTCTCTGTATATTCCTCCATGGGCTAAAGTGAAGAAAGCAGGGCTTCAGTTACCCAGTCATTGGTGACCGGAAAGCAACACGACATCACCCGGGGCCAAATTCACAACTCCCCATTACTGACTCTCCTGCAGACACAGAGTACACGCCTAGAGATCAGAAAAAGCACATGCCACCTGAACAGCTGTGCGGGAGCCCAGATTCCCCATACAATTGTTACAGTGTCCTTACTTTGTATTCAATTCCCTCTGCCACAATCATTTCTAGGATATCTAGAAGCAGAGTATTTCTTCCTGGGAGGGAGGCAATATACTTTGTAATTCCAATAAACAGTCCTTTCCAATATGTGATTTTTTCACATCTCCAAATTAATAGTCTAGGATATATAACAAAATGTAAAGACGACGCTGTTGACACTGTAGGCAGGTCAACGATAGTCCACATGCACTGCTGTGTGGTTGTGAAGTTTCACAATTTTAGGTGCAAAGATAAAAGAAACGAGGTACTGGTCTGCTTTGTAAACATACCAATGGAATGATGATTTTAATTCTGGAATTTAGAGTGGCATAAGCAATGGATTTTCCTTCAGAACAAAGGCTAAGCTGAGGAGAGTAAAAATATTTTGAGAGGAATGATTGAGAAAAGTTTTTAGTGATATGTGTTCTCTGGAGAAATAAATAGAAAGAACAGGCAGTTACTCTCATTATTCTTGGAAAGTACAGCTTTGGGGCAGGGGAAAGAATACATATGGTTGTCATATAACTGAGATGTTATACGTGCTGAAGAGACATTGCACTTCAGTTAGGAATCGGACCAATGGAAAGGAATTGCATGGCCTTAGATTTCTGCTCAAAACAAGGGGAAATTTTTTAAATAGTCCAAAGTTGAACTTGGGAAGTAGACCACTGAACTTCATCAGGCTTCTGGGCAGTCAACTGACGTGCAATATGTATAAGGTGTTTAAATACTTAATTGGGGCAGATAACAAGAACGAGAATGATGATAAAAAAACAATGACAGGCAAGCAGTAGTAATAGTGAACTTTCTCAGGGCACAGAGGATGTACCTGGCTTTGTTTAAGCAGTTTATACAAACAGAGGGACTGTTAAACCTTCCCCAAGCAGTTACTTTTCCCTTCAGATGATGGATAACACATGGAGACTCAGCAAAAGACGTCAGTCCCTGGCCCTGTGTCTCTGTATGGCCACATGAATAAGTTTGGACCAATGAAACAGGAGTGGAATGATGTAGCTACTTCTACGCAAGCTTTCTGATCATGCCCTTTATTTACTTTTCAGCCCTTCCCGTTAGAGCATCTTTAGAACCAGATAAAATAGGTACATGTTTAGGATGCAAAGTTGACCTTCCTCCCTAGTCTCAACATGACTTGATGGAGAAGAGCCTTCTTTCTACCCAAAATAGTCAACTTGCCTATTTTTGGAGTTTTGAATAAGAGAAAAATAAACTATTTTTTTCCATTTGCTCTCCTTTTAAGTGCCTTTGTTAAAATAAGTTTGCCTCTACTCTAATCAACGTAACAAGTGTCTTCATCTTTCAAACAATTCTGTTATTATTTCCATTTATAGAAAAGAAATTGAAGCCCAAGAGTTGACAGAACTTATGAGGATTGCTACTGAGATTCAACCTCAAATGTGTTACCTCTTGTATTGATCATTAAACTCACTCCCAACTCTGAGATTCTGTGTGGTTGTTGTGATTGTGGTGGTCCAAATTCGAGCCCACACTGTGCTTATTGTTAGGATTCAAATGTGCTTGAGCAGAGTCTGGGGACAAGGAGCCCTTAATGAGTCAGAGACCTGATGAATGCGAATGGAGAAGAAGGCTTCAAATGTGTTTCTCTACCTGGATCCATTGCCTGACCTCCGAGAAAAGAGGCTGGGGCAGAAACTAAGAAACTGATTTGATAAATGAGATTTTGAACCCTGAGGGCATGTTTTTATGCCTGTTTTCAAAAGGGCAATACTACTACCCCCTCCCAGGAAGCCCCTCCTGATCCCCCAGTTAGAACCATGCTTCTATTTCCGTGGCTTCTCTTTATAGTTTGCGTCTTTTATGGCACTGAAGGGAACTGTTTTGTACTATACTCTTTTGTGCATCTTTCCATCTCATCCATTCACTTATTTACACATTTGAAATGTATCAAACACCTATTTACTATTCTGGGCAACCTGTTTTTTACCGACACAGAAATAATGAAATCATAAACTTCAAGCAAATTAAGGGTGAAGACCATGCTCTGATTACATTTTCGACTTCCACATTACCTACTTTTGCTACAGTGCCCAATTTCTCATTAAGTGGTAGGCACACATTTCATACCTATGAGGACTGACTGTGTAATAAATAAGTGTAGAAATCCAGGAAACATGAAGAAGTAAAGTGCTTCATGATCATTGGGGAACCCCCATTAGAAATGGCTTCATAACAGAAGGGATGAAGCGTTGTTGAGAAGGGATGATATAAAAATTTCTTAGGGGGGGCGCCTTGGTGGTGCAGTCCGTTGGGCTTCTGACTCTTGATTTTGGCTCAGGTCATGATCTCAGGCTCATGGGCTCTGCGCTCATCGGGGAGTCTGCTTGGGTTTCTCTCTCTCTCTCTCTCTCTCTCTCTCTCTCCCTCTGTCCCTCCCCCATCTCTCTCTCTCTAAAATAAATAAATAAATCTTTTTAAAAAGTTTCTTAGGGATAGAGTCTTGGCTGTACTGAGCAAAAAGAGACCATTTCAAAGCTCTCAGAGATTGAAAAGAAAACTAATCAAGATGCTAGTTGTTTAAATGATATAATTTTCCATCAGTATGTGAGAACTAGGAAGAAATTCTAAATAATCTAAGATTAGAAAATTTGGAACAACTAGTAAGACATAAAAAAATAGACTAAGAACCTCTTATCATGAGTTTAGTCTCATTTAGGCTACAAAAATTATAATTCTCTAAATTAACAAGTGTGTTTGGAATTTGCCTCTGAAGTGTTCTCTCATTTTAGAGCAATCACTTTGGCATATCCTGAAGCTTGTGTTGAAGATTACAGAAGAAGGAAAGAGATCTAAATGTAAAGAGAAGTCTAAACCCCTTGGTAGAGCTTTGAGGGAAATTAACCAGATGCTCTTCTGGGTGGAGCTAGTCTGGCTCAGTGCGGTCCTGTTGTTTTGTGTCTAAGCTCAAGAAAAGATTTCCAGTAACTGGCTTGTCTTGGGACCTTTTTAGAACACAGGGATGAGTCACAAATTTTTCTAAAACCTGAGCTTTTTTTTCAAAAGACAGATTGCCATCCTTACATCTATTAGGATTTTCTTCTTACCTGAGAAAATGTGAACAAGGAGAATGAGAACAGCAGAAATTAAGAAAAAGATTCTCATGGCTCCAGACATCAGTGTAGAGAGGGTACAGTTGCTAGAATGCAGCTCTTTTATCAAGGGAAGTTGATTAAAACAAGTTCTACAGCTCTGGAAGGGCTGGAAGTCAACTTCGGTTTGCAATGTTCATTAAGAAGAAACTATTGTTCATGCTCCACTGAATAATGTGTAGGCTGCTGGATCAGGTGTTACTCCAATGATGTTTTTGGGAGAGTAAGGCTTTTCTCCTGCTTGTATTCCTCCATTCTACATCTCTGCCTCTGCATCTATTTTTCCCTGAAGCCCCATTTTAGGTACCTTCCCTTCCAGAAGGTCTCTAACCCCCATTTCTTTTCTTCTTCTCTAAGATGTTACATTCAACTTGGTCTCTTATAAGATTCACTTGGCAGTTATTAATGGGTGCCTGGTAAAATTGCTTTTCAAAAATTATAGTATATGAAAAATTTTTATCTGTCCAATGTGACTGTAAGCTCCACGGAAGAATGACTCTCCTTCCAACCTTTTCTTTCCATTCATTCCTCGTGACAGTGCTTTGCAGCAGTAGATGTTCAAAATATATATGGGCTCTTTGACTTATTAATTGATAGCTGCTTAGTTAGAGGAACCCATGAAACAAGTAATATGGAAATCGTTATTAAATGCTCAAAGTTTTTACATTTGTAAAATATTATTATTAAGAATAATGGCATTATGATTAAATATGACCATATCTCATATGTTATGGGAATAGCTTTCATTCAACAAATATGGGTTGGAGAACTATTTATGTTTACTTATATGTTACTAAGAAATTTGAATTTTATCCTAAAATCAAAGGTAAGTTATTGAAGGCTTTTAAGTAAGGGGGTTATTTGAAAGATTAAAACTCAAACAAGGATTTCCATTTCGAATAAAGCAAAGTGAGCTCCTACTGATAACAAATAAAACTTTGGGAAAAAAATTACCTGAAGAATATGAAAGTTGAAACAAATACAGGCATATTTTAGAAAAAAGTCAAAACTTGGAAAAATGAAACAGCACAGAGTATGTGCTCTCTAATTGCAATGTGGTATGGAGAGGTTAACTCAAAACAAACAAAAATATCTATCCTCTTTCTAAACTTAGAACACAAAGCCAGGGCCAAGGGAGATCGTATCTGCTGAAAATGAAGACCCAGAGAAGGGAGCTTAGGTTCTACGTGTGAACTCTGCCCCTGACTTTTGCCACCCCTTGAGCGATGCATGCACCTGGTTAAGGTAAAACAAAATGACAAACACACAAACACCCCTGAGATTTGAGCTGCTGCCCATTACAGCCAAGGTAATATTTGCAAATTGAGTTTAAAAAAGTCACTTTCCTGTTAAAACAAAAATATCAGGGTGTCTGGGTGGCTCAGTCAGTTAAACATCTGCCTTCAGCTCAGGTCATGATCCCAGAGTCCTGGGATCAAGTCCCACATCCGGCTCCCTGCTTGGCGGGGGTAGGGGGGGTCTGCTTCTCCCTTTGCCTCGGCCCCTCCCCCCTGCCTGTTCTCTCTCTCTCTCACTCTCTCTCTCTCTCTTTCAAATAAATAAATAAAATCTAAAAAAAAACTTAAAAAAATTAGCATTCTTCTGAGGCTGTAGCGGTATTCACATCCTCTTCAATACAACATTCACAGTATCCAGGACATCGATGATGTTGAAATATTTCAGACAAGGAATTTAATATATCTATTTTAAGATGCTCCAATAGTAAAGAAAATATGCTTGCAATCAATTTTAAATATGGAAAATCTCATTAGAGAACAGAAAATGTAAAGATGCTTTGATACTAAAAAATACAATATCTGAAAAAAAATTAACTGAATAGATTTGGTAGCATAGAAAATATGACAGGATCAAGAGTCACTGAATCAATAAAAATTATGAGACCTGTAGATGAGAGAGAAAAATGATTTGAGAAACACAGGCCTTTGAGGGCCTGAGGGATAATATCAAAGACAGGTAATTAGAGTCTCAGAAGGAGGAGAGAGACATAATGGGGTAAAAAGTAGTTCAAGGACATAATGGCTGAAAACTCCCAAATTTGGTGAAAGACAAATTGACCAAACCAGGAAGCTTTGCAAATCGCAAAGGACACGGATACCATGCTTAGGCATATCACGGTCAAACTCCTGAAACCCAGAAAAGGGAGGAAATCGTGAAAACATCCAGAGAAGAGTAACACTTTCAGTTCAGGGAAACAGCAATTGAGTTACCACTGGCTTCTGTTCAGAAACAAAAGAGGTCAGGTGACTGTGCATGCACCTCGCAGCCCTGAAGGAAAACAGGCATAGCGCTGCCAGCTCCAAACTCCATCTACAGAAAAAAGTCCTTTAAAAAAGGGTAACCGGGTGATGGGCATTAAGGAGGCACACGTGGTGATGAGCCCTGGGTGGTATATGCAAATAATGAATCGTGGAACACTACAACAAAAACTAATGATGTACTATTATATGTAGGCTAGTGGAACATAATGAAAGAAAGAAAAGGGGGGGAGATAGACTAAACGTATTTTCAGGGCAAAGAAAATGAAAAGAATTTTTCTCTAGCAGAGATTCCTTGCAGGAACACTGTAAAAGGAAATTCTGTAAAAGGTGAAGGCAACTACCAGAAAGAAACTTGATTTTCAAGGAGAATGAAAAACATCAGAAATGATAAATATCAGAGTAAGTATTAAAAAATACTTTGTCTTTTACTTTATTTGAAATGTATGTGACTTCTTAATGCAGAAACTGTAACATTGCCTTGTGAGCTTATAATGGATGTGATACATACAAAAAAATACAGCAAAAAGTTCTGTTATGCGAATGGGGAGAAATATATCTACTTAAACAATTACAAGGCTTCCAAATTTTGAATAAGGTAGATGAATATCAAGTCTAAGTAGATATAAAAAGTTAAGGATGTGTATTGATATCCCCCGTGAGAGCCACTAATCATAATTAACACCTTATAATGGAAGTTTTGCCTCAAATGTCCCAATAATCTGAAGAAGGTGAGAGAGAACAGAGGAATAAGCTCAAGGAGGACAAACACACCAAAAATAGTAAATTGATAGACCAACATCTAACTAATCTATCATTATTTATGTAAAACTATCAAGGGACTGAACATTCTCCTTGAAAGGTAGAGATAATCAGATGGATTAAGCAGGAAGACAAAACTATGTGTGATCTATAAAGGAAGCATCTCTCCAAACATTTTTTTTCTTTTCAAGTAATTATAGACTCACAATAGTTGCAAAAATCATACAGAGAGGTCTTGTGCACCCATTACCCAGCCTAGTCCAGTGGGGACATCGCCCATAATCGTGAACTGTCAAAGCTAGGACATACATTGGCAGAGTAAAATCAGACCACAAATTATAAGGAAAGCATTGTAAATATAAAGAGACACAGAAAGGTTGAAAGCTAATGAATGGAAAAACATAAACTATGAAAGTATCAAGAGTAAGGAGGCTGGAGTGGCAGTATTCGTTTCAGATTAAAAAAAAAAGAATATATTATCAAATCGAAAGTGGAATGCTGCGTAACACGTTTACACATTAACTGATTGAAGTAAAGGGGGAAACAGACAGTTCTACACTCAGAGCAGAAGATTTTGATATCACTCTTCTCAGCAAAGGGTAGACCCAAAAGTTGGTAAACACAAAAGTTGACCTAAACAACCCTATTACTGTGTTGACTGAATTGATATTTACACAATACAACATAAAACAACTGCAAAATACACACACTCACTTTTTTCAAGGACGTATGATACATTCATCCAAATAGATCACACGCTAGGCCATAAAACATTCATACTTTTGTTGAATTATTGAGTTCTCCCTTCAAAGTGTCCGTTCTCACTTCATGTATTTTGTGGTTCTTGGTAGGTTGATCCATGCTTATCACTGTCATGTCTTCTTGAGGGGTTGATGCACCTCTCACTATACAAAGTTCTCTTGTCCTTAGCTCCAGGTTCTTTCATTCTTCTACTTCTGACCTCTTCATTTCCTTGAATCTAAAGTGTGTCTCTTGCGGGCGCCTGGGTGGCTCAGTTGGTTGAGCAACTGCCTTTGGCTCAGGTCATGATCCTGGAGTCCCGGGATCGAGTCCCGCATCGGGCTCCCTGCTCGGCGGGGAGTCTGCTTCTCCCTCTGACCCTTTCCCCTCTCATGCTCTCTCTCTCTCTCATTCTCTCTCTCAAATGAATAAATAAAATCTTTAAAAAAAAAATAAAGTGTGTCTCCTGCACACGGCATATAGTTGGATCTTTTTTAAAAAAAAAAAAAAACTCCATTCTGCTAGGCTCTAACTGGAGTGTTTAATCCATTTGCATGTAATGCCATAATTGATGAGGTAGGATTTACATCTGCCATTTGCTGTTTTCTTTTTTATTTATTTATTTTTTTAGAGAGAGAGAGAGAGAGAGAGAGAGCCTGGGGGTGGCGGACAGAGGGAGAGGGGGAGAGAGAATCCCAAGCAGGCTCCACATCTAGCGTGGAGCCCGACATGGGGCTCAACCTCATGACCCTGAGATCGTGATCTGAGCCTAAATCAAGAGTCAGATGCTGAACCGACTGAGCCACCCAGGTGTCGCCTGCTATTTGTTTTCTACATGTTATTTCTCCCCTACCCCATTCCTGCATTACTGTCTTCTTTTGTGTTAAATAGGTGTTTCCTGAGGCACCATGTGAATCCCCTTGTCATTCGTGGTGCTATGTATGTTTGAGTTATATTATAAATGACTTGGGGTTTGCAATCAATTTTAACAATCTAGTTTAAATTAATAATAACTCCCTTCCAATGGTGAACAAAAACGTTACTCTGTATAGCTTGGTTTTCTCCCCTTTCTTTTGTGCTGTTAGAAACAAGTTGGAATTTTGGAGTATGAGAGACACTCTGGGTGGCCTTGAAGGAGAAAGCTGCCTGTTTATGGAAAGAGCCACGGGGCAGGGAATGCCAGGCAGCCTCTGCGGGCTCAGGACAGCCTCCTGGCCGACAGCCTGCAAGAGGACAGCCACCCACCACAGGCCAACAACTGCAAGTGACAGAATTTTCCCCAAAACCCCAGAGGGGGTGCAAGGGGATCTCTTGCCTCAGATTAGATGAAAGTCCCAGCCGGCCCCATGCTGTCAGTCCCGTGAAACCCTGAGCGGGGGTCCAGCTACACCATGCCTGGACTTGGGACCAAAAGAAGTGTGAGAGAATGTATGGTGTTTTAAGCTGCTAACTTTTGTGGTACTTTGTGACACAGTGAAAGAAACGAGTGCAAGAGTATCCCAAGGTAGATCGCCTTTTGGGGAAAACACTGATGTGTTCTTCCTAGGTTCCTGTGTGGCCCACGGCATTGCACAGTTTCCCGAATGGTTGATGTTCTTTCTGGTCCACCTTAGGAATCTCCCTCCACCCCTCACCTCCCAGGGCTGTATCCTAAAACCACTTACTACTGAGTCCCTTTGCTTTAGCAGGCCACCGTATTTGGGAGTTTCCCTGTAGGATGGTTTCAGCCCAGTGATCTTGTGTAGCGTTTTCTTGGTCCCTGGGAGCCATGCCCCTTTTGCCCTGCCTAATATGGTAAATGCAGCCACCCCATGGCTGACCTTTCTGTCCTGCCACTGTGGACAACTCCAGCTGGAGCTCTTCACCTGCAGACACTGTCAGGTGTGAGCAGCACAGGGCAGCGTGTTGTTTTCCAAGGAGCTGCTTGAAATGCAGCCCATCTCATAAGTACTGATGTGAGAGGGTTATTTTCCTCACCCGTCCCCCTGGAGAGCCAGAGTGAGGTCCCAATCACAGCACACCAGCCCATTTTCCAAAGAAATCTGTCCCCTAGCTTTCTTTTATACCCTCCGGGCACAGGAAGAAGGCTAAGTGTTTCAGAGCCCATTTTGTGGTCAACTTCTTTACTATTCCTGCACCTGGGGTCTGGTACTTCAGTGGGGAATGTGGGAGAAAATGATACTTAATGTTTTGTCCTCAGCCCAAACTGATCAGTCTTACTCTACAGGCACTGCTGTCCCCTTTCAGCTATGGGGAGGGAGTTCTGAAATGGAACCCCAAACCCAGAAGGGACAATGCACAGTTAGCATAGTTAGACCAGAGCCACGGTTTCAAAATGAATGGAGGTAAAGTCATGCTAAGCAGGAGCATTATGTAAACTAGAGTGGAGATACTTCTGGGAAAAACCAGCTGCACCAGTGTCTCTCCTTCCTGACCATTTCCCTCTGACCCGTCCACCATGTAGAAGACTTTCCCTTTCAGAAAATCCAGCAGACTGATTTTGGAGATCTCCATGAGTTACTATGGAAATCAACAGAAATTTATCTGAAGAAGCCAAGGGCAGGCACTTGACCCCTGAAAGTGCTGAATTTAATAAGAAATTAGTATGGGTTGAGGCTTTATTATTTTGTAGGGAGGATCGAGTGTCTCAGGAAGAAGGGGAGTGGATGAAAATGTCCTAGAAAGAAGCCAAGTGAAGAAGAGAGGAGAGAGCAAGAGGAAGAGAGAAGGGGTAATTCATGAGTAGGCGAGGATCTATGGGAGGCTGTACAAGGTAAAGAGTAAAGGAACATCAGGGCAGAGCCACTGGTCCACCTCTCTGTATGACCCTGAGACATGCACATGAATCCTTCCATAAAAGAGACATCAATTAGAGTCCAGGATGTTTTCAATTTGGGGAATCAAGGAATGTGGTGTTTGGAATGAGCAGGGAGTATCTGGTCTCGTGGTCCTCTGCAAACCATCCACAGTACTCTCGCTGTGGAGAACTGAGGAGGAGCACCCACTCGGAGAAGATCACTCACTTGTAGATTCCTACGTTGCCCCACTGCCCACTTCCCTGAGTTAATTCCTGTGAAAACGAGGGAAACACTCTCAGGTTGGCAAAGGTGATGACTCAAGTCTCTTTTGGAGGAAAGTTGATCCAATGTAAATTGATCTGACAGTAGAGCCAACCGAAAAGCCCAATCAGGCAGGCTCCAGGCATGAAAACAGCTCCCACACCAGGTAGTTTGATAGAGATGATTTAACATGGAGAGGAAGTGATGAAGTGTCGGAAAAGCTGAACATGCAAAAGGGGAGCCATGAGGCAGCCCCAGGGTTAGTCCTAGCTGGCTGGGGGAAAAGCAGGAGGCTGTGGTGTGAGCCCAAGAGCTAGGGCTAGCCGGCCAGAGCTGTGCCTGCAGGGGCAGAAAGGAGGCAGAAGCCAGGACACAGAAGCAGGGGCTTTGCTATGGGAGATGAGCCACTGATGGAGCTCCTTCTCCCACCACGCACTCGCATCGACAGGAGCCGGCTGGAAGCCAGGAGGTGTGGAGAACGTAGTTTGCAGAGAGTAGTGCCAGTACACAGAGCAGCGCAGGGGAAGGACAAGGAATATCTCTTGAGTGCGAAACGACAGACGATACAATGGTAGCTCAAATGTGAAACAAAACACTGACAGCCACCCATGTGAAACCCGAGTGACCAAATTTGAGGAGCTGCTCGTAGGACGAATGATTTTGACCTTTATTGTGTGAAGCTACAGATTTTATTTCATAAGGCAAAAGCTATACAGTCAACCATTCATGCATAGTCCAGGCTGAGCATTTTAAATTAATCTCTGACATTTTCATTTACTGGCAAGAAGAGAAGTGCAAAGTTGGTGCCATGGACATTAACTGAGTAGGTATGAGTTGCTTTAAAAATACACCATAAGTACTAGAATCAATGACTGACTGTGTGTTGATATACCAATAAGTGATATGGATAATTTCTCGTATGCTGTAGAATTATAATTCCATTAACACAGATGTGGATGCCATCTCTGCTTATCTGTTTGGTTAAAATTATTACACAGAAATAGATACACAGCACATGACAGGGGTGAACACAACTTTTCTGGCTCCCAGGCTGTGACCTTGAAGAAATGAAAGCTTCTCCGAGTCTCCATTTCTTCAAATACAAATGGAGATAATAAAATCATTAGATGATCCTGAGTCATATGAGGAAAGTTTGGGGGAAAGATTTGAGAATTATAAGGTACTCTACAAATATGTAGTAGTAATATCCGAGTAGGTTATCAGCTACCCACTCAGATCTTGATTTTTTTAAGGATTATCTTAAAACATAAGCAAAGAAACAAAACAAAGGGAGAGAGGCGTGAGAATGATTCTGAGACTCACTCCCAGGGTAACTTGGGTAAGGCACACAACTTCGCTTGTCCTCCCTTGAATACCAAGTCCTCCTTGGAAGGCCAGGAGAGTGCTGGCCTGCTTCACCTGATCTTCCGTCGGCAACAGAAAAAGTTCATCTTGCAATTTCCAACAACCTTCTCATCCTCGGTGCACATCCTCCTGCATTTGCCCCGGCCGAGCCTGCACGGCTCACAAGCAGCAAACTCACCTAGGCCGACAAAGAGCAGCTGATACATCTTCCCAGGGAATCCCTGGCAACGGGGAGAAGGTCAAAAGCCACCAAAAAAAAAAAAAGGGGGGAGCGTTTCTATGATCATAAAGAGTGTTTTTAAAGAACCAGCCCTGATTTTTCAAAGAGCTCTACTCTCTTCAGGGTGGAGTTGGGGAAGAGTTAATGTTGAAGCAAGAGGTGGGCACCATCCCTGCTCTCCGTGCCTTGCGTGGGTCAACAGTAGGCAAGCGCAGTGGGATGAAGTGTCATGTATACGGTAGAACCATAAAAATACATACCTGATACTTCTGTGAAGGTTACAGGATGAAGGCGGGAGGGCTACCTTGTGGTTTGAAAAGGTCCTTGGAGGTAGAGGTAAGGTTAGGTTCAGTGCTGGTTTGGGCTTGGTAATGGTGGTGTGGCCTCAGTAAACTGCCTGACCTCAGCTGTCTCGTTTGTCATATGGACATTCTAGAAATACTCGTCTACACTGCAAATTTCTCTAGTGGTCAAATGGAGTAACCTATGTGAGAATATTTTGCCAAACACTATGCCCTCCATTAATTATTTTTGTTGTTGTTACTTTAAGCAGAAGCTTTTTAATATGACTGCAAAAAATTTTTCAGGGTGGCTTTCATGGACCAGGTGGGTAGGGCCTTTGCCAGCCAAGAATCTGTTACCCGCTGGTCTGGTTCTCCAAGGGCAACATTTATGTTGTAACCCCTTATTCTCTTTCCTACTAACCACCCTCTTCTCAGGAACCTCAGAACTACACGGGAGCTCACAGGTTTCGCTTCTCTACTGCAACCTTTCACTGGGCTCCTTGACAGCCCATTTGCCAGTCCCCGCGGCTACTTCAGTCTTGATGCTTCCTGTCTCACCACCTGCTCCTCCCTCTCACATCATTGCTCAGCAACGGGCCCAGAGTTGGTCCATTCCTGGGCTGCATTCCATCCCCTTGCTGCTGGATCTCCTAAAGTTGCCCCCCTAACTTCTGAACACTCACCCAGAGACTCTTTCTGTTCATGCTAACTGCTGCTTGCATTGTGCCGAAGCTTGCTGTGGGCAGGGGGATGGCCGTGGCTGTCCAGTTGCTTCTGTGAAGTCCACCATTAGAGTCAGTCTTTGCTCTGGTAAGCCCAGGTCAGAATCACCTGACTCTTCTGCTTGATATTAGTGCACTCATCACACGTTGTGTTAAGAATTCTGACTGGCTCTGAAACAAAGTCCCTGATGATGACTTTTATTCCAACCCGCTTTGATGAGAGGTGAGGACGGGCACAAGCTAACGTTCTACTGAAGGTGCCTTTCTGCTTTGATTACACCAAAGCTCCCTGGTAACGTTTATAAGTAAAGAACCAGTGTCTTGCTTCCGCGCCATGATGGTCTAACCCTACAGCACAATTCGGTGCCTCCGAGGCATCTCCGCTCAATTGCTATGCCTCAAGCTTCTCAACTTCTCATTCCCTTCTAGCTCCTGATTTTATTATTTTCTCCTTCTGAGTTCCAACCTTCTTTCCTGCCTGGAAACTTCTGCATCAGCATCCACCTTGTTTTCCCAGCTTATGTGAGTTCTTCCTGTTTTCACCCAGACTTGATGCCCCAGCCTGTCTTACTTCCTGAGCCTTGCATTACTGAGGCAGGGAAGAATCAGCATTTGCAGCCTTGGAACCAGAAAGGATATAGAATTATGTTGTATTTCTAATCTGACCTACTCTTTGGCATGTCAGGGATCATCTCTAGATGCCCCTTTGCTGCTGAATTAGAACACGCATTCCCCTACCCATCACCCTTGGTGACCTTCTCTGGATGCATTTATATGGAGGGCTTCCCTGCAATGGGCAGAGTGATTATTTGTGACGGGATCTGCTCTTTTCAGGCCGTGGGTGGTCTGATTGTACAGTGCTGCAGTTTTATTGAGGATTTTGTATGCTACCTCTGCTTAAGGGTATTTCTGGGCATTGTTCTACCTGATTGAGAATTACAGATTTAAAACTTTGTGACTCTGGAGTCCTGAGTTGAAAGCCTAGCTTACCACTTATCACTGTATCACCTGGACAAAATGATTGAACAGCGCATCTATGTCTCAACTTCCTCATCTTCTATAAGGTGGCAGTTACAGTAGTACCCACGTCATAGGAATGTTTGCAGATTAAATGACATAATCCACATAAGGTTAAAAGACTGCCTGAATTTTTTTTTTCTCACTCCAAAATTCTGTCTAAACACTTTTAAATTCTGTTTGCAATTACCCGGGGGTGTTTCTTTTGGCTCTATTCATAATATGCCTTCTTCCTGTAGAAGATGAGTGCACAAATAGATATTGGGGGCTCTTCACTGTGCACAGCTCTTATATAATGGTGATGAGATTTCACTGTGTTTGATCCTTCTTAGACTAGTAGCAGAGATTGGGACACATTTTATAGGTTTTGGGACCAGATCCTGTAAGAGACAGATGAGCATGTTCTCAGAGCAGTCAAGGCTCATTGGCTGGTACAGGAGTAATCCTCTAATCTTGCTTTAGTTAACACCATGAGCTAATGAGACGAGCCACCAGGTCCAAATCTTTATGGCCAAAATTCCATTGCCGTAACACAGAGATTCTCTGTGAGATGGCAAACCCAGGTATGATGCTGGCTACAAGAGGAAGTGAAGACAGAGGCAGAAATCTGGGATTTCAGGCAACTCTATTCTCACTATCATTTCCGTCACTCCTTGTCTCTGGAAGTCAGAGGGAGCTGACAGGCCAGAGGTCCTAAAAGCAGAAATTATACACAAGGGATTCAACTTACCTCCTGGAAGTGGCTCAGAATACTCGAGTCCTGCCTGGCATCCTAGATTCAAAATGACACATTTCGAATATTAAAATCAGTGTAGGAAATAATGATGTATAAAACAGTATTCCCAGCTCCACATATCTGCTGTCGAAGGATAGCAGATCACAGAGGCTGCATCTTTATTCTATTTATGAAGGCCAGCACTCCCAGTAACCAGTAAGAGGTCTTAAAAGGGTGGGCAGGGTAGTAGTGTGCTTAGAAAATACCACTGCAGATTCAAGAAAATCCCGTTGGAAGCTCAGTGGGGAGCCGACTGTTACTCTTAGTGTCACGATGGTCCACAGAAAAGCCATCAGGCTTTATGTTCTGCCCCCTTCGCAATCCCATCCCTTTGCAATTACCTGATAGAAATTGAGCCAAAATGAAGAAAAAGGCAAAGACAAAATAAGACATCTTTCTGCTTAGGGTCGTCTCTGAGGGAAGCCTCTTCAGAGCAGAGGTTTGGGACCTCTCTGGGAGGGCGAGAGGCTCACTTATATTTGAAAGTAATGGGGAACGCTTTTGGTCAGTGAAGTGAATCAATAAAGAAAGCACATTTATATGCTCCATTTCCCAGGATCAAGGACTGAGATGATGGACAATAACCCTTGGCCTCCATAGAGCCTTGTGTCCTGGGAGCTCTGGCCAGGGTAGTGCAGGGAACATGAGGCCAGGAGCTGGAAAACCAGGAGCCACCCCAACCTCCCAATCCAGCAAGTAGGAGCCTCCTACCCCATTTCTCTCTCAGAATTTACTCTTCTCTTCCGTTGAATAAGGAGCAACCACAGTTGCTGAGAGACAACACAGTTCTTCCGCCAGCCTCTCAGGCCTGGTGTCAAGCTCTAGTGATGATGATGGGGACGTGCTTGGAACACAGGGAAGGCTTGGAAGGAGTTCTGGTGCCCTCTAAGAAGAGCCCGGGAAGCAGGCACTATTCCTTCCGGGCTCTCATTTGTACCACCTCTCAATGTCCCCAGGAGCAAAGCGGGGAGGGGCATCGTTTCGCCAAGTGAGCTCTGAATCCCCAAGCCTGTAACAATGTCACCTAGCAGCCCGAAGCCGTAATTACCACGTCCTTCTCATTTCTCAAGAACATGGGTATCAAAATTAACAGGTGTCACTGCACCCCCAAATAAGTCCCATCCTATTGCCTATGCTTATGCAAGGCTCTGTTCTTCACGTTGGGAAGGCAAAATAGGAGCACTGAACCAGGCAGACTAAAGTCAGGTCGGTTTAGCAAGTATGTGACCTCGGGCAGGTTGCTTACGTGGTTGAACCTGTTTCTGGAATCTTAAAATGGGGATATAATAAAGGTACTACTTCATAGGATATTTTAAAAGGACTCACTGAAATGAGTATCAAGTGGCTATCAGACCCCACCCTTGGCCTGAGTGCAGATGTACCTAGCAATGGGATGGGGGTGTCTCAGGGATAACAGTGCCATGGTGTAGGCGGGCAACTCGGCAGGAGCAGACCTCTCCTGAGCCCCCAATTCAATGCCGATTCCCTCCCAGCACAGGTGTTGACCTAAGAGCTGCCCGGCCCCCACGGGTGGGAGTGGCAAGCTCACAGAAGAAACACACCTGGCTTGACTCTCTCTGCAGCGAGGCATGGTGGTCCCGCGACAACTGGCAGGAGGGGGCCATCCAGACGACGCTGAACCACACACAGATGTGCAGTGGCAATGTGGGGGTCCCCGGGCACCTGGAAGGGTCTGCAAGTGTCCTGCAAGTATCCTTGTGCCTGAGGAATTGTGACATTAAATAGCAAAGAAAAATTTCTATGACAGAGGAACTTGGTGCCTTTAATGGCACCTTTTTCCTGGTTCTTGAATACGGACCTTGCATTTTTATCCTGCACTCGGGTCAGCACATTATGTAGCTGGTCCTGACCTGGAGTGAACTTCTAGCCTTAGAAAAATACAGTGACTCTTGCAACTCTCAAATTAAAGGGTTGGGCCTTGTCATGGGGATCACAAGACCTCCCTGCTACATGAACGGGCCAAAGAGGCCCCTGTGTAGTGGTCCCTATGGTGCTCACTTCTATAGCTCTAAGCCCCCTGCTCCAGACTCAAATTCTTCCACACCTGAGGGCTTTGAGTATGGTGCAAATAAGCATTTGTTTAGCCACTTAGAGCTTGCCTGCTTTGCATGCCACACAAAAGGCCCCCCAACATCTGTTAACATAGATAAGACAAAGCCCATAGCTGTAAGACTCCAAATTGCCGCCGCCTTCCTGAGGGCTGTGATCCCAAGACTCCCCACCTTGCTGCCGAGAGGTATCGTCTAGACACGTGAGCCCCTCTCTGGTGCCCCTCTCCCCTGGGAGTTCCCTTCCCCTTTAGGGTGGACGCCTCATGCTCCCATCTCTGGGAGGGCCTTCCCCCCAGGCAACCCTGCCCAGGTGCCACCCGATGACACCGCTCTTCCTTGAGCAGCCCCCAGCCCCTGGAACTCACCACACTCCAGCCCTTAGAGTTCACCCACTCGGAGGCGTCTGTCCTCTCTACAGTGAGGTGGGAACAAGCCGGCTCTTAGCCGTTGCAGTGCCCCACATGTCCCTTAGATTTAGTTGGCTCTTTGGAGCGCTCAGGCAAGATTACATGGGCCATGTCTGAATATCTGTGTCCCGGCAACATTCCTGTGGAAACCTAATCCCCACAGGGATGGTAGTTGGAGGTGAGCCTTTGGAATGTGATTAGGTGAAGGGCCTTCATGGATGGGATTGTTGCCTTATGAAAGGAACCCCAGAGAACTCCCTGTCCTTAGCCTCCAAGGGAGACTCAGCGAGAAGGCAGCCATCTGCAACCCAGAAGAGGGTCCTCACCTGCACCTGGCCACACGGGCTCTCCGTCTTGTATCTCCAGCCTCCAGAACTATGAGAAATGAATATTTCTTGTTTATGAGCCACTGCATCTGTGGTGCTTTGTGACAGCAACTCAAAGGGACTGAGACACAATCTGAGTTTAGAGGGGAAGCCACGTGAAATCCTACCACCATACGGGGTTCCCACAACCTTAGTAACGTTTGTTTGTGTCAAAGGGTCCAACTATGATTCCCTTAAGTTTGCAACCTTTGCTTCCTGATGAATCAGACCGGCCTTAAGAAGCAGAGACATATGACATACGGGATAATAAATAAGACCAGTGAGACTGTGTGTCACCGAAAATGTTTGGAAGTCGGTCTTTTCTTATGGATTTAAATCATTTTGATTGAGGATTGGAACGGAATAGAGAAAAGTTAAAAATGTGTCCCTTTTCTCAGAGTTATTTATGTATTCAATCATTTATTGATATCAGTATGGCACAAGGAAGTAAATGGATGGTCTTGTCCAGATCACATACAAAAACGGTGTTTTCAATAACACAGCAAGCATCTATTGCTTTTCGGGGGTCTATGATTATGTTAACAAACACTTCTAAGGTATTTCAACTTTTAGTAGCAGTAATAATAGGGGGCTGATGATGAGGGAGGCTCATCTCCCTAAGGTGGCATTAAAGAGAGGTATTCCACAAGAGGGAAGTGTTAAAGTGGATGATTCAAGTCTTTCTCTCCAACCACTTAGTTGATTTACTCCAGATTAGGAAAAAGAGGTAATCAAATTAGTGGGAGACTATGACATTCAGAGTATATGGATATTTTGTATATATATACATAAGTACATATGTATAATATGTGTGTGTGTGTGTGTGTGTGTGTATAGTCTTAATCAAATATCCCATAAGCTCACAACTATCGGGGGAGCTGTTTAAGGATTAAATAAGATACTGTATGTAGCACTTTTTTTTTAAGATTTATATACTTAACCTGAGAGAGAGACTGATGGGGGGCAGAGGGCAGAGGGAGAAGAGAGAAAGAGAATCCCAAGCCGACTCTCTGCTGAGCATGGAGCCCGATGCGGGGCTCAATCCCAGGACCCTGCGATCATGACCTGAGCTGAAAGTCAGGTCAGGAGCCAGACACTGGACTGACTCAGCCACCCAGGCAGCCCTGTGTAGCACGTTTAAAAGAATCAATAATAAAACATAAGCTTCAGTGGAGCAACTTGCCAAGTGTACACGGTGCACAAATGTTGGAGCTGGAATTCAGACCCCACTGACTCCATTCTGATATTATATAATTACGCTCCTTTTACATCTGAGGGAACCAAAGCTATTAAGGAGTATAGTCAAGGTTCGAAATCCAAACCGCCAGATGCCAGACCTTTCATTCCTGCCGGTGTGTCTACCTACCCCTGGTCATCAAGGCACCCTCTACTTTGTCTTCCCCTTCTTCCCCATTGTCCTTGTCGTGAACTTCCCAGCATCAGAAAAACAGTGAGCTGCAGCCTACCACCCACTGCGACGTGTGGGCTCTACTCAGCGGAGCATGGACAGGCTCTCATGTCTGACATGCCTCGTTGATCAAGATGTTCTTTGGTTTAGAGAAATGTATAAATGTGGGTGTTTGCTGCTCTTTTATCATGGACACTGTGCTGATCTTTCAAGACCCTGCGAGGCATGAGGACGTTCCTCTTTCTCTTTGTTGTTCTCTTCCTCCTGGCCCCAGGTAAAACCAACATCTTTGCAGGGAAGGTTATAGAGGTGGTGGCCCAGAGACAGGTCTGCTTCAAGCGAGCACCTGGGTGTGCTCAGGCCGGTGACCCCGCAGGGGAACATTTGCTATAGGAGGTGACTTTTGTTGAATGCCTCTTCCGCAAATCCCTTTCATTTTTCATTATTGTCTCGGGTGGGGTATCACAGGGTTGAAGAAAGAAAGATATGCCAGGAAAGATGCCCTTTGGTCCCCAGCTCTATGCTCACTGACAACAACAAAAATTGGGGGAAAAAATAGAAAAACAAGCGTAGGCATCAGTGGATCTTTTAAGAAATAATTGTGATAGAGATGGGACAGGTAAGGAAAAGAGCCAGAGAAAGGAGTGCTGGACAAGGAAAGGAATGGAGGTCAGACACTGTGTTCGTGCCAGGTCAAACGATACCCAGAAATCCAACATGCAAATTGGAAACTGAGCAAGGCTCCCTTTTCAGACCAGTCAGACAAAAGTAGTCGACACGATATGCCAACATGTAATATACAATTATCTAATAAAAGCAAGTGGAGCTGACCTATTTACGTGCCATACGCACACACACACAGAGTTCCATTAACCTCTAGATGGGTGCGTGTGATGACCCATTCAAAGCCTTGTACACACAGATGCTCTCTCCCTTTGCAGAGGCTTTCTGTTTCTGGACCATCACTGTCAATTGGATGCAATACAAGAACTCTTGTCAAGAGTGAGGTCCCATAACCAATTGTCCAGTTGACAATTGACCTTACAACACTAAGAGGGCAGTGAGAGTCCCCCGCAGTGGGAGCCACAGTTCAATGAGCTTTGAAACATTGGAGTATGTGTACTTATGAACTTAAACGCTGATGCTAGAAACGACTAGGCACACGCTGGTACCAATCCACCTGGTTTTAGTTTTACGTATGAGTGAATTAGCCTCCTTTATATGTTGACCTCAATTTCAATTTGTGTACATCGGACGCTCTCCTCCGTAACCCGGGATTAGGTAAAACTCTAATATCTGACAAGATGTGTGTCTGTCCTCAACTGGAAGGGGGCTGCTCCTAGGATTGCTACTGATAAAGTACTAAGGCCAGAGCGGGTATCCTGTGCAGAGCAGACAGGAGGGGTCTTGGAGAGCCACCCCAGCACCCCGCCCTTACCTGCTCTCCAGCACATTTGGTGAAATGTGTTAAAGAAATTTGATTGAGCCTTTCTAAACAATGTTTTTCCTTCCACACACAATAGTAAATGCTTCCCTTTCTATATATTTATCCTTGTTTACTCCAGTCTTGGACCATCTCCCCCGCCTCAGACCTGCCCTGCTCTCACCAAGGAGCACTTTGGCAGTGAGCTGGGGAGTTACCCACCCTGGAGGGGTTTTCAGAAACAAGGTGATCATTACCTCAATAGATTCTGATAAAAGAACAATAGCTTCTGCTTCTCAAAGCCCCCACACAGCCTTACCCCAAATGCCAGAAGATAAATCTCTTCGTCCTGGTCCTTAATCCACGTATGACAAAAAGATAGAAAAAAATCAAAGAGAAAATAGTTCCCTACTATCTCATCTACTGTTAAGGTGAGACACTATGGCAGCTCGTAAAGCAATCTTTACTAACCAGTTACATGACCGTACCTGGTAACTGGACATATTAGTTATGAGAAGAGAATTAATCCAGGTGGCTCCTTCCCTTGTATAGCCAGGAATGCATTTTTTGATGAGAAATGCTTCAAGCTTAACGGGAGATGCGTGAATTCTTGTCGGAAAAATGAAGAACTTGTTGCTCTCTGCCAGAAGTCTCTGAAATGCTGCCTGACACTCCAGCCATGTTGGGAGAGTAAAGATGATTAAATCTGAAGACTCTGGCTTTCCAGGGCGACATAAATGACCTAGTTTTGTCTTCTCTTGATGCTGGCCTCTTCAGTGAGAAGACACCTCAATAAAAATAAATGAATGTCTTTTATCAATTTGTCAAGTGCTTCACTTAGAATAAGGAAATGTAAATAGCTAACCTTGATGGTCCCTGCCTACTGGTTTCTTTTTCTGTAATTTTTTGGTAAGGGGATTTTCCCAAAACCATCTGATACTCCTTTTTAA